ATGAGGCATGCTTATGTTCCTCACCTGACTACAAAGTGTTGCATTTTCATGAAAATGTCCTTTTACGAATGCACAATATTCTCGCGTTGCAATACGGCACTGTCCTTGCATTTGTATACAACAAGGACGCCCAGTTATCTAAACTTGACCGCTTTTTTAGAGGAAAAAAAGAAAATAAAACTGGCTTGAAACCTGGCAAGTCATGTGTGGTGGTAAGAATCCTCCTTTACGATGTTCTAGGCAAATCTGTAACATTAAATTCCACTTAGCAAAGGCACCGCAGACGATGAAATTAGAATCTTACCGGCCAACGAGTCAAGTCATCTGGCCATTCATACGGCCTCACTGACGATGGGCGAAGGCAAAAACTAAACAGAACAAACAATAAAAATGCGAAGAAGCAAATAAATAAATGGATGGTGATATAAAACAACCAATGCCCTTGATCCCTACACAACAAATATCTATAAAGCAAGCTTAGCGATTTACTCAGGATCTTGTCCACAAACAGCTCCAGCAGTTCTCCAAGAATGGCGGCTTACAGCCGAGGTAATAGATCCCCTTCGACGAGATACGGTGAGCTACAAATTAATAAGTGTAACAAATGCCAGCACTATTCTATACATCTAGGATTAGAAAAGACAGGGCAAATCTTACAAAAGTGAAAATGAACAATTAGATAATAAATAAGAGAGAGCCAAGCAATCGTAGATTCACTTACCCCAACAGAATTCTTCTCAAGATCCACAATCGCCGACTCTGATTTTGACTTCTTTAGAGTAGGGGGCTTTGGGCGCGACCATTTGTGCCAGGTAGCCAATGTTCTCTGTACATCTCTAATTATATTTACACATACATTTAACTCTACTCAGCTTACCGGACAACTAGATTGCCCAGTCTGATAACATCCCGTCCTATCATTGAAAACGCAACACCCTGTTTCATTTTCTTTCACCCTTTCTTCATTGATCAATCTCCATAAACCAGGTTCGCGTCGCATACAGGGTGAATACTTAGCTCCTAGTCGAATTAAATCAGCCTGAAGGGTTATGGTGAAGGCCACGATATCAAAGAAAAGACTAAGACTTACGAATCTTGGCCCAATCCACAAGTTTACAGGTTCAAAGTAGCTAACTTGACGCATCGCAAGTGATACATCAATGACTTCATCTTTCATTTCTACTCTTTCCCATCCTGCCGGGCCAAGACCATAGATTAGCAGGGATGCAATGCATACTATCACTTGGACACTGGTTACCCACCATGTGAAAAGTGGTCTGAGAAATTTCGTGATAAAATGAAAAATTAGTATTATGTTT